TAGGTGGGGAGGCGGAGGAGAGTGCCGCCATGGATGCGAAAGGAGGTGGTTAGAGGGATTAGACAAAAGAGGAACCTCTGTAGGAAATGGGTACTGGGGCAAATAGACAAAAGGGTATACCGGGAGGAGGAGGCCCGTTGCAGAAGGATTCTTCTCAAGGCTAAGGCTGATCACGAGCTGAGACTTGCCAAGAATATCAAGAGCAACAAAAAGGGCTTCTTTCAGCACGTAAATAGGAAGAGGAAGGGGAGACAAGTGGTGGGACCACTAAATAAGGAGGAAGGAGATCCAGTGACTGGTATGAGGGAACAGGCACAGATGCTAAATGACTATTTTGCCTCTGTATCCTCCCCAAAGCAGGACGGGAGAAACTTGCATAGGAGATTAGATGAGGCTGGGGACTTAGGGGCACAGATTAGAGTCACCCTTCTTGAAATCGAGGGGCTCCTCAGGGCATTGGACATTACATTATGTAGACTGTTTTATTCCTCCAGACATTTAAACAATAATTTTAGTGATTGTACTAGTTTATTTTGCTGCTTGTTTTTATGCACTGAGAAGGTTTAATTCTTTGCTGCTATATTTATTTTGGTTTTATTCTGATGTGTTCTTATTCTTTTTTTGTTTTTGTTTTTATATTTGTATTTCATCAGATTTGGAATAAAACTTTCAAAAAATATGGCTTGGAAGAAATTTTTAGATAAGTTTCAAGACCCCTTGTTGTTTGATATGAGCCATGCATCTCCTACAAGAAAGTACCCCAGGTAAGCAAGAGGTTTAATATGTTGGTCAATTCTTTTGGACCATGGTCCTGCCACAGAACTCTTATCAGCCTTCATCCCCTCATGTAAGGCTGTTTCACACACAGTGGTGCCTTGTAGTTCAAACGACTCTAACTTTGAACGATCCAGGGTTCAAACATTAGAGTTGAGAGAAAATCATGGCAAAGTTCAAACAATGCTTCAATAATACGTTCAAATTGCAAGTGGACTGAAAAAAATGCGGCTTCAGCATAAACGTAATCTCTTGTGTACCCAAGTTGTCTCTTGTGTTTTCAGTGCATGTGTTTTCAGTGTTTTTTCACTTTATTTTTTGGTTATATATGAGTTATGATTAAAAAAAATACAATGAATGTTTAAATTGAAAAAATTACAGTAAGAGACACCTTGCCATCAATCCATCCCTCAAGATAATCCCCCCCTTGCTTTGAACACACTTATCCCATCATTCTTCCCACTTTCTGAAGCAGTTCTAGAAGTCCTTGTTTGTGCGTATCTTTAGTTGTGCTGTTATGGCTGCCTTGATATCCTGAATTGATTCAAAATGTTTACCTTTTATGGTCATTTTGACTTTGAGGAGAAGCTGGAAGTCACATGGTACCAGATCTAGTGAATAAGGTGGATGAGGACACACCATGATACTTTTATTTGACAGAAATTGCCTTACCAGAAGTGATGAGTGTTTTGAATTGATTAAGGACATTGAGACAGCTACAGCAGTGCAACTAAAGATGGTAATGAAAGAGGACTTCCAGAACCGCTTTAGAAAATGGCAGGAATGATGGGATAAGTGTGTGCAAAGTGAGGGGGGGTATTTTGAGGGGGATTAATGGCACTGTGCCTTTTACTGTAATTTTTTTTATTTAAACATTCACCATTTTTTTGATCACCCCTCGTATATAACAATTCCTCACTAATGTACAGTAAATGCACCAACATAACATTACTAATATTAATTCCAGTATAATCTAATTAATAGATTCTAATATAATCTAACTTAATTCGTTTCCGGAAGCCATATTTTCCATTTAAGTTTATCAAAATGGGTATTGCTTAGTATCTGGGAACAGATTGATTCACTTTCCATTATTTCTAATGGGGAAAATTGATTCCAACTTTGAATGATTCAGAGTTCAAACAGCCTTCTGAAATGAATTAAGTTCTAAATACAAGACACCGCTGCAGAAAAAAATGAGTGAACACTAGAAAGGAGGCAAATCCTGGCCCTGAGACAAGTGTATCTGTGTGATACACATTTATTTACTTATTTATTATATAAATATAAATATTATTTGTATTATTATATATTTTGTTTCAAGAATGTCAAGGCAGCTCTTCATCTCAATACATATGCTTGGAAAGACATTTTTGTTAAATTCACATTTTACATTTTTGGATGTATACTTCAGAATACTTAACTATTCATCTAACAAATGTTGAAGAAGTCCAAGAAACTATGGAACAAGTCTTATCTTCATGCTCCCCATCCCTAGAAACTGTAGCTGCACCTGGTTTCAAAGTTTCTCTTACTGGGAACTTACCTGCAAAGAAGCATTCACACCGTATTGCAAAGCATTTGTGGTACAGTCTAGGATGCAAATTCGGTTCACACAGAGCACTAGCCAGGCCTGTAGGATGTCTTTCTGTCACTCCATGTGAACTGTGGGTGTGCTTTGGAATGCATCCAGCCCTATCTTGCAGCTGATCATTGCAGGGAAGAAGTGGTATTCTTCTGTTCATATTACATTTTCTGCTATAACTTTTCTTCTTGAGGAGAAGCTTTTGAAGAATGGAATGCTGTTTGAAAGCTGCTAAATGAAGTTGATTCTAAGAGGCTGGGATTGCAAGATCCTCTTCCCTGTTTCTATGTAGTCTCACAAGCTTTCTGTAGACATTCTAAATCTAGGCACAGTCAATTCATGCAGGGGCAGTGAATATTGGGATTGTGCCTGCTACTCCCCTATACACATTGTGGACCTTGGAAAATAAAGGGTCCTGATCACATATACAGGAACCCAGGCATTTTCTACCGACCAGTTGTAGGCTCTGTACACAAGATCCAGTCAATATACAAGATTGCTACGAAGATTTCTGCCCCCATACCTGGTTTGTACCGAGATTTGGAACACCTGCACATAACTTTTCCCCTCTGAAATGGATTATTCTACTTTTCAAGATCATGATTAACAGTATTTTAAAGTAACAGTGACAGCTTGTTTTTCCTGAGCAGAAAAGATTTGGGTAGTCTGTCCAAAGCATTGAGGTCCAGATTTCTTGACTTGAGCAAAGGCTTTGGGAATGAGTGCTGATTTTTTTTCTCAGCCCAAGACAAAAGGCTATGGTAGTAGTTTATTCTCTGTTGAAATAGCAGCAGGAATGCACAGTGCAGAAATACTTTACAGCTGAGTTAGTGTTGCCTTAAAATGCTGGTGCTTGAAATTGTAAGTATAAAAATCACACCAATGGATGAGAACTCAGTATTTTATCCTTGCAGAAGCAGAAAATTGGATGAAGCTTTGTCAAGTGACCGAATTCTCCTAAAGCTACATGGACATATCCAAGATGCTTATTCCTCCCTGAAGAAGGCCTTCCTTACACTTGACAGAGTGAGAGCAATTATTTATAACCATTACTTCTCCTCTCCTCCACCCCTGCAACATTCTCCTAGTCAGCAGAGCCTTCAAGACCCTTTGAGACCCTTCACATCTGTTTAATTTTCTCCTAAAGATTCTAGCTGCATTGGGTTTGCCTTAAGGTAATGATTTATTATGTGTAATAACCTGCAAAGCAGTAATCCCATAGCCAGAAATATTATGATAGGGGACCGTTAAGAGTACAGTGGGAGGGGACCTCATAAGTCAGTATGAAGTAGCAAAAACTAAAGCACAGGAAGTCTGATACGCTTAAACTAAAGTGATCTGATTATGTTAAATAATCTTAAATTACTGCAGTCACCACAGTGTGTTTGTACTCATTAGTCACAAAAAAGGAAGTTGAGAATAGGTTTTTGAGGTATTAAAATTGGCCCATGATTTCCTTTTGTTTGACTGTAAGTAAAAAGACTAGAGTTTTACTTGTTAAAATATGTTAGCAAGTAAATTTGTTAAAGGAAGCCAAACTTGGTAAAGTGATAAAACTTACTGTCAGTGTTGTATTGACTTAGACTTGTTTCAGGTTAACATTTCTAACTGACTTTTAAACACATGAATCATTTCTAAGAATAAGCATAGAAGTTTATGCCCTAGATTTGTTTTGGGATGGCATATATAGATCAGTGTGTTAAAATATTTCTCAAATATGTGAAACTTTATTTTAGAAAGCAAGTTATGCAAAACTAGGCCTGAGGAGAAAGTATATTGTTTTTTATGAAAATTTACAGCAGACAAGTAGTTTAAAAGCATCTCGCCCCCCCCCCCCCCCGATGATTTATTGGTAACCAAAAAAACATAAGTCTGTTGAGGATACCTTTGACTTTGTAATCAGTAGTGTGTACATAGAAACAGAGCGAGTCAGAAGGGTCCCGCTGGGCCATCCAGTCTGACCTTCGGCACCAGCCGGGTCTGCTCACGACATGCCCACCATGTGCTTATCCAGCCTATCTTTGAACACCCTCACCGATGGGGCCTCAATGACCTCTCGTGGAAGCCCATTCCACACCCTTAGGGTCCTCACTGTCAGGAAGTGCTTCCTGCCATCTAAATGGAACCTTGGATCACTGAGCTTTACTCCGTTAGAACGCGTCCTGCCTTCCTCTGCAGGGGAGAACAGTTCTCTACCCATCGCCATGTGACATCCCCTCACATACCTGTATGTCGCCAACAAATCCCCTCTTCTCTAGGCTGAAGAGACCCAGTTCCCTCAGTCTCGCCTCATACCCCATCCCCTGCAAATGGGCCACCAACCTTGTGGCCCTACTCTGCACTTATTCCAACCTGACTATATCCTTTCTGTAATGAGGGGCCCAAAACCGAGCACAATACTCCAGTTGTGGGCGCACCAGAGTTGTATAGAGTGGTAGTACTACCTCTCTCAATCTAGAAGCCACACTTCTGGCTATGCAATCAAGGGTGGCGTTCGCCCTCTTGACCACCGCATCACACTGTTGACTCATGTTTAGCCTGCAGTAAACCAGTACCCCGAGGTCCCTTTCACAAGTGCTGCTCTCCAGCCACTTGTCCCCTAACCTGTACTTATGACACCTATTTCTATGCCCCAGGTGCAAGACTTTGCACCTATCCACATTGAACGCTATCCTGTTGTCTCCTGCCCACTTCCATAGTCTGTCCAGATCCTTTTGGATCTGGAGTACCTGCTCCTCAGTTGTGGCCACTGCTCCAGTTTTTGTGTCGTCTGCGAATTGGATCAGCAGACTGTTCACCCCTTCTTCCATGTCATTAATGAAAAGATTAAACAGGATCGGCCCCAGGACAGAGTCCTGGGGGACCCCACTTGTCACTGGCTGCCATCCCGACGATTCCCCACTAATGGTTACCCTCTGCTTTCGATCAGTCAACCATGCCCTAATCCACTGGACAGTGCTTTGGTGTATCCCTCAGTTTCTCCACCAGGATATCATGGGGTACTTTCTCAAAGGCCCTGCTGAAATCCAGGTATACCACATCCACTGCATTCCCTCCATCTAACCATCTCGAAACCTTGTCATAGAATTCCACAAGGTTTGTCTGGCAGGACCTGTTTTTGCAGAAGCCGTGTTGTGTGGCTGCCAGCCTCCCTCCCCTATCTAGCGTCACTAGATCTCTCTCTGTTATGAGCCTTTCCATTGTTTTTCCTACAATGGATGTAAGGCTAATAGGTCTGTAATTCCCCATGTCCCTTCTGCTACCCTTTTTGAAAATTGGGACCACTGATGCCACCCTCCAGTCCTCTGGAACTTCACCTGTTCTCCATGAGGCCTGCGGGCGTGAGAGAACCCCTGCCAACTCTCTAAGTACTCTCGGGTGTAACCCGTCAGGGCCTGGCGCCTTTGTAATGTCCAATGCCCTGTGAAGCCCCTCAACTTCAAGGAGGGTGACTCTAATCTGTGTCCCTATGTCCCCAGCCTCATCTAATCTCCTATGCAGGTATCTCCCGTCCTGCTTTGGGGAGAACACAGAGGCAAAATAGTTATTTAGCATCTGTGCCTGTACCCTTGTATCAGTCACTGGATCTCCGTCTTCCTTATTTAGTGGTCCCACCACTTGTCTCCCATTCCTCTTCCTATTTACATGCTGAAAGAAGCCCTTTTTTTGCTCTTTATATTCTTGGCAAGTCTCAGCTCGTAATCAGCCTTAGCCTTGCAAAGAATCCTTCTGCAATGGACCTCCTCCTCCTGGTATACGCTTTTGTCTATTTGCCCCAGTACCCATTTCCTACGGAGGTTCCTCTTTCATCTAATCCCTCTAACCACCTTCTTTTGCATCCATGGTGGAGCTCTCCTCCGCCTCCCCACCTTACTGACTAGAGGTATCGTCAAGGCTTACGCCCCCAAAACCTCCCTTTTGAGTGCCATCCACCCCTCCTGAACTCACTTACAGCTAAATCTGATACCATAGTGACACTATCACATTCACTATGTGATCTGTGCTTGGCTGGGATCATCCATGTGACTGGTTCAGGTCCTCATTCTCAACTGGGTCACACACATAGGAAAGAAGGGTTCAAGGTTGCTATCAGGTCCATGCAGTTCGGAACCATGGACTTCAGTGGGACATGTCTATTAAGTAACTAGAAGTAGGATTTCATCCTTAATCTTTTACTACATATCCAGGGATATCATTTGGTATGGTATTTGATAATACAAACTGCACAAAGTCTGACCAACACACTCTAAGAAGATGCAAGTAATGGACGGCATACAAAGTTTATAAATAAATAAATATGTGGTAAGAGGATATATCACAAAAATAGTGACTTTTCCTTGAGGCAAATGGTGGGTGATAACTCATCTAAGCATTACAGATTTTTACAACCGAATGCAGGTTTTAGATGGTTTGACCCAGTAAAAAGGCCATTAGCCAGGTCAAACAGCTGCTGCTTAACTGTCCTGGAGCTGCTTGAACAGATATCAAAGGAAGATTGACAAGTAAACTACTATTTTTTTAAATAAGGACTTAACAAGACCGTAAGACCTTGTCCTTATTGCAACTTAATTTTTAGTTTCTCCATAAATATGTTTTTTTTAAATGAGATTGGACAGTTTCTTATCACCCATTTTTAAACCTTTAAATTTAGAAAATTGCTGACTGAATGGTTACCAGTTTTCTAGGGTGTGGGTATGTGTGAGTGATGTGGTAAACTAGCATTTACAAAAAGGCCTTATCATTCTAGATATATGATATATGAACTGTGAACTTGACAGTGCTATTTTCTTTCTCCATGGTGGGCAAATATAACTTTTTGTTATTATTTCAATTTGCTACAAACAGTTCTCAAAATTGTATGGTTTCCATCTTTGGATTAGTCGATTAAATAATAAACTGGGGGGAAAATTAAAGCTTGCATAGTCTAGATGGCACCAGGAAAATGAGCTGTGGGCATATCTTCTGAATTCCTACTGGCATGTTATTATGAATTTTTATATAAATGCTTGATTGCAATTCTTGTCTTCTACACTTACATAACAATTGCTGTCTCTTTCTTGCCAGCACTGGCGGCATAAATAGTGCAGTAAATCCCTCACAAAAGAGAGAATTCTCCTAACAATTTACAAAGTAGAGCTCTTAGTTTAACAAACCACTGTGGGTAATGGTAGCATATAGTAGATTAAGTCCCTCATTCAAACAGGAGATTAACTCCCTCTGAAATTGTAGAGTGCTTAAGGCTTTAATGAAGAAAATAATTTGGACACAAAAGTTATTTGAGATTTTAAAAAAGCTTTAGCTACAGGAAATTTAGGGCTGGTTCACACTTCCTGGTGGCCTCCATGTGAGTGCCTCCGGAGGTTGTGGGACTGTTGTCAACTTGTGTGGCTAGATTGCATTTGTGCAGAGGCACCATTGTTTGAATTGGTACTTCCACATGGAGGCAGTTTGCACTACAAATGGCAGCAGCTGTGCAAACAACACCAGCATGAAGGCATCTATTCACATAAACTGTGACTGCACAAGTGCAGCTTGTCTGCAAGCCCAGTGAGTCCTCCTACTCCCAAGACACTCATGTGGGAGGTGGGGCAGGTTGATACACTGCTACAGCCTTGTTAGTTTCAAAGATCAACCTTATATTTGCTAGGTTCACTGCAATATTTGTATCTCTGAGTAGTCTCTTAATATTAAGTTTCAGTCTCAGAGTTTGTTAAAAGTCAGATGTTTTATCCAAACATTCTGGGGTCATGGTATTGTAGGAATAAGGATTTTGAAGTTGTCTCTGGATAAGTGATGCTGGGACATGGTTTTAGAAACACAATGATTTGGTGTCTCCTGTCAAGGAAAACTTAGTTGTTATTCTTAAAAGAAATGACTTAGTTTTTGCCTAACAACTCAAGTGAAGCAAGCTTCCTTCTGAACTAAGTTAACCTACCCAAAGCTGGTGCCCTTGAGATGTGGACCATGCTAACTGGGGATGATGGGGTTGGAGAAAGCTGAACTGTACTCATGAGCAAGGTCACTTTGCATTAGCTGATACAAAGGTAGAAAATCAGTCATATCTGATAGAAAGTCAGTAAATGCATATTTTGATATGTGAGACCTTGCTGAGGGGTAAATGGGAGTCTGGTTCTGGAGAACAGGTAGCCTGAGTATCTGATAACAAGTGTATAAGCGATGTGCTAAAGAAACCTGCAGTGTCTCGGCGAGGAATCCCCTATCCCTTTGGAAATAACAGATCTGATACTAAGTGTGCTTAACATCTGGGTAAATGTTATATTTTATGGCACCATCTCATTGGGTCAAAGTAAAAGCAGCAGAAAGTGTGGTTGCAGGAATATCAAGAGGCTGTGGCATGACCCTTTTAATCAACACCAGGTACTTCCATTTGTACCCTCCTTTATTTGGGTGAGGACAGCATGACTCCTTGTGGATTAGAACATGAGCAGCTAACATGCCAGAGGAAGGCAATATTTCCCCAATGGCTACTACAGGCTAGGAGTTGCTTCCTTAGAGATAATAACAAAAGAGACATTTTAAGAATCTTTAAGAGTCTTTTATCATTTTATTTATTTATGTATTTATTAAAACATTTTTATGCCGCCCCATTCGCCGAAGCCTCGGGGCGGCTTACAACAATAAAAAGAGTGGAACTTTTAAGAGTGGAACTTAGGCTTACCATGTGAGAGTGGACCTGACTTAACAGGCTTATTCATACTGACCTCTGTCTCAATAGGAGCCTGTGATATAGTAGAGTTGGGCATGCATGCAGCTAAGAATCACCAGGTGAGAACTGGTGGTTTCTTTGCATGTTCTTCTGTGGGAGGCAAGGCCCTTTCCTTGTGTGGTGGCCAAGTCTTAGTTGTTTGGTTAGGGTTAGGGTGATGTGATGTGACTGAGGACTGCTCCCCCTCTTCTTTTTTTTTAACAATGAGTAGACTGGGCTCCCAGCTCTCCTAATAATGAGGCAAATACTCCCATATTAATCTTTATTGCAGTTGAAAGTCTTGTTATGGCATTAAATGAACTCATTGATCCTGGCTCCCTTAAACAAACTTACCCTATTTGATAACTTGGACAGCAATATTATAGTATGTGGGCAAGTGTTCCAGGGACCACAGGACATCTTGGATTTCTTCTGAGCCTCTATGTGGTTGGAAAGTTGACGTTTAGAGGGAAGGAAGGGAGGTTCTGGTGGGCAGAGAGAAGAGCAGTTGAAGAAGCCAGGATGCAATTCATTCTGAGCGGCTTTTAGCATCCTCCCTTCCTCTTCTGAAGTGTCCTTGTTAGATGGGCTGTGAAGCTTGTCTAGCAAAAAAGCAAAGCTTGGAGGACAGGGAGGCAAAGAAAGCCCCCACTGTTCCTCCTCCCATGCTGACTGCAGTCCATCAGGGCACAGGAGTGTGCTCTTAATAAAGCAAAAATGAAACAAAATAACTGCTACAAGTATACTGAAGTGAACCTAATTAAAAATTCTATGTGTTACAATAAGGTCATCTTGCTTTTTTATTATTGTTTATATTTTTCCCTTTTCTTCACCAGATGATTTAATGCAATGGTATAATTCTCCATGGAAAAACATTAAGGAGCAATTATTGCTTTGCAAACACATTCTCTCTTGGTTAAAATAAAAGTATATTAAAACTAAGCATGAAGTAAATTGTTCGTTGTGATATTTCAGCCATGCATACTCTTTCTAGAAAAGCAAAAGCAAACAAGAAGATGGTTATCACACACTAGCATTGTCCCAGGCATGAGGATGGGATGTGGGGAACAACAGTGGAGAGAGCCACACTGGAGGCATGAATGAACAGAGAGCTCTGCTCCCGCTACATAGCAGCAGCAGCATGAGGGATTGGATCTATTTCCCCTACTCTTTCCTGGTTCCATCCTGCTACAGAAGTAGTGCTGAAGCACTTGGTCAAATGCTCTTCATTCTTGCCTTCTTCATAACATTGCTGATCTTCATGAGCATAGGGTGTAGGTAAATTGACAACAGCAGCCCATTTCAACTTTATCATGGAAAAAGAAAATATTATATGTGCATTGTTAGCTTGCTGCACATTCTGGCAGGCTACTGCCCTGCTGACCTGACATTGCAGCCAGACCACTTCTGTTTTGAAGTAACTGTAGGTGGGGGAAAAAAAACAAGGAATTGAGAAGTTGTGATTAGGGGAATTATGATTAAATGAATACCTGGGCACATCTAGTTTCTAATGCCATTCCCATATATTATTTTCAGTACACATAAATGCAGGGCTTCCACAAGGAGGAGGGAGGCTGCATATCTAACCCACCTCACTCAGTACCTTCAAACTAATGGTGCTTACCTTTGAGGGCAAAAAGAAGATGCAGGATTGAGGTCTTGCATTGAAAATAGACCTGGCTTTTGGTTAATTTTAACAAGTAATGTGATACTTACTGCATGCCCATTTAACTCAGAGCATTTTATACAGCATTTTTATCAATGGTAAACTGATCAAACACTTATATGATGTATATGGCATCACTTTATGTCAGAGGTCCTCAAACATCTTAAACGGGGTCAGTTCACTGTCCCTCAGACTGTTGGGGGGGGGGCAGACTATAGTTTGAAAAAAAAATGCTAAAGAAACCCCCAGAGAAACACCAAAAACGACCCCCCCCCCAACCTTGTTTCTCAACAAGGAAGTGTGGATAGGAAAATTTTGCAAGAGCCTCATGCTGCTGCTGCCGATTTAAAGAGCAATCAGGGTGAGTTTTCTTCCTTAAAAACAGGGGAACAGAAAGTTCCAAATAGACTATTCTGTGGGGTGGACAGTGGAGAATCATCTAGCCCTGCCAAGGGTTTTGAATTTGTTAAAGAAACCCCCAAAGGAACAGCAAAAGTGACCCCTCCCGGCCTCGGTTCTCAACAAGGAAGTGTGGAGGGGAAAATTTCACAAGAGCCTCAGGCTGGCCAGCAGAGAGGGAAAAAAGATGATCAGTTTAAATGAACAAGCTGACTTAAAGCAAACAGGGGAAAGCTTAGAGGGACTTAAAATGGATTTTAAAAGTTATATTTTTCTTACCCTCAATTTTTTTTTTTAGTGTCTTCATCTCTCTCTCTTCTGCCCTTCTCTCTTCTGTTTCCCACTCCATATATGCATTCAATGGGGGTGGGGGGGGAGGGAAGAGCCAGCACACGTGCAGTTGAGCTGTTACAATCTGGCACGTGCGCTGGCTCTGCTCAGTTTCAGAGAATGCCTGTGCTGGCTCAGAGTTTTGTACTCGCTTGGAGATTGTTTTCTCTGAGCAAGTCCAAAAGCTCTGAGGTGGGCCAGATAAATGAGCATGGCAGGCTGTATCCGGCCTGCAGGCCGTAGTTTGAGGACCCATGATTTATGTGTTAATCATCCTCTTATTTAGTATGTCTTTTAGTAATGATGTGTCCATCAAAGATGCTTCTTTTCACATATGGATCTCAGATTATAATTTAGAATGCCTTCTGCATTCCTTATGAAACATCCCAGAAACAGCTTGACATGTTTGTACCTGATGTTAGCTGGACTTAAGTCTTATTTATTTCAATGGGCCCACTCAAAGTAGGACCAACAGGGCACAACCCACAGTTTAAGAAAGGCCAGGTGGCAAAGCTATCAATGTTTTCAAATAGAAGTTACTTTGGGAAGCTAGCATCACAATGCAAAGTAACAATGGAATGGTACTAAATGCTGTCTTGTACCTGCTTGCACTTTTAGAATCAAGATGGAAAAATTACAAATAATGAACTCCGGCGCATTTTAGACTGCATCATGTTCCGAATAAGTGATGATGATTTTCAAGAATTAATCAAGATAATTGATCCAGAACGTACTGGGCATCTCAGCTACAATAAATTTTTAAACCTGTTTGAAGACAAGGATTCAGTAGTAAGTGTTCCTTGGCACCTACGGGACAATATAGTATTGTGCTTGAATCTGGCTTAATGATGGAAAACAAATAGAGTTTTAAAGGTAGTAAAAATTCGTGGTGCTTATTCTTAAAGCTCTTTATGCTTTTAAAGCAATTAATAACCTATTCCTAGTTGATACCACTTTAAGACTTATGTTATTTTCGTCAGTTTAAGCCTGAGCTAGATGAATTCATAAAAGATACTGGATAATGCATTTCTATTTTGTGCTAAGGAGCAATAGAACATCATTTCCCTGGGCCAGCTCCAGAGAACAACAAAGGTGGATATTTTCCAGGGCTCCAAGTATAGCAAACAAATGTGTTTGTGTACAAGAGCATCACTAGTTTTTGCTTTGCACAGAGCACTCTGGGAGATCAGATACACCCTTAGAGAACCCTAAATTTGCATGCTCAATTTCTTTCAGATTGAGGGGACTTCTAAAGATGACTGGTCCCAGCATCCTTGGATCCTTGTGCCAGTACAACCTTTCTTTCTAAAATATTTGCTTCTGAAGGTTGAAACTGTGGTGACCAACTAATGAACAGCACATTCTACACTGAACACTTGTCATCAACATATTATGCCTTTAATCCCTTTCTGTACTGGCTCTCTGTATCAGCATGAAAATGTTAACTGCTAAAGCTCTGAATATCTGAAAGAATTAATCTGAGGCTATAGACTTTTCAGTGTCCTACTGAGATCTCTGTGACTGGATGAGAGCAGCTTCCGTATAATGCTCACAGTTTTTAAGTTCAGCTGATGCAGACTTGTAGGCTGATGCAGACTGATGCCTTCTTGTTGGCTTGCTGGCCGCTTAGAAACTGTCTTCCCTCAGAGCTGTGCTTGGGACACAGCCATTTTAGTGACCCATTTTAGCAGATTCAAAATTTAGTGGCTTGGAATTATGCTAGGTGGCACAGTGGTTTAAACTGCTGGGCTGGTTGATCGAAAAGTCTCTGGTTCGAATCTGCACAATGGGGTGGGTTTCCGTTGCTCTGCCCCAGCTCCTTGCAGTTTGAAAGCATGCAAATACAAGTAGATAAAAAGGTACCACTTAGATGGGAAGGTAACAGCATTCCGTGTACTTTGGTGTTTAGTCATGACCCATGTGACCACAGAGACTGTCTGTAGACAAATGCTGGCTCCCTCAGCTAGGAAACGCAGATGAGCACCGCCCCCTAGAGTCAGACATGACTGGACTTAACGTCAAGGGGAAACCTTTACCTTTTACCTTTAATTATGCGAGCTACATTTCTGTGTTAGGTGGAAGCTACATCATATCACTTTGGGGCATTACAAACTGCTGGTAGTTTGGTTGAAGAAGTTTTTGTGAAAAATCTGGTGGGGTAAGCAGTCTCTTGTACAGGGGTCCTCAAACTTTTTTAACAGGGGGCCAGTTGAAAGGTGCCGGCAATGGGCATGGGCCACCAAGGTGGTGCAGGCGGGGGGGCGTGGGCTGGGGTGGGGTGGGGAGGGGCGTGCACGCACACACGCTGCGAGGTGCTGGCTTGCTTGCAAGGAGATTGTTTTCTCCAAGTGAGTCCAAAACGATCTTGCAAGCAAGCCATCACTGGGTGTGCACTCTGCGAGGTGCCGGCTTGCTCGCAAGGAGATCGTTTTCTCTGAGTGAGTCCAAAACGATCTCAGCACGAGCAAGCCCCTGCCTTGCCATGTGCATGCACGTGGCGCATCCAAAACCTCTGTGGTGGACTAGATCTGGCCTGCAGGTCATAGTTTGAGGACACATGCTCTATTATATGAAAAATATGTAAACAGCTGCAGGGAAGCTGTGAGCTGTATACCTGCGGAAGTGTGAGAATTCTTGTTTATTAAAGCTTCTGCTGTATCTTCCATAAGTCTTATTCGTCATGTTATGCCATTTCATGTGAATAGATGTGTTGAGAAATTCTTGTGGTGTTCCAATTTGAAAGTATCGTATGGATATGTAAAGGGTGCCCAAGCACATTAACATCTAGGCTGGACAAATGAACTAACATTGCATTTACATGGCTCCAGATGAACTATAGCTATTGATACTGTTTCCATCAATATATCACTAGGGAATTGACCAAGAAAAACAAAACACAAATTCCCATGGTGTTTTTGCCCTGCAAATCCAAGTGTATGAACAACATTTCTGATTTTCAAAATGATTTGTCACTTCTTTATTATGTTCCAAGGAATAATGTTGATTCTGTGTTCCTCAAATAAGAAAGAAATAGACAATACATCCAAGTCTGAGTTCATTTGTTATAAAGTAAGACTGAAAAGTGGGTAGATCCCTGTGCCCAGATGGTCTCCACATACACTTAAAGAGGCATTTATTAATGTATTATTTATTAATTAACTAGATTTGTACACTGCCCCATAACAGAACATTCTGTTTGCTTATAAAACAAATGAGTCAGTGGTGTTTTTCCAAATAGAGTACACCTTACTTGTTTATATGCCTATACTATTTGGAAGCTAAACATTCCACAGTGGCATTATCATCCCAGAGGACATTTCTTCCTAGTAGACCTAGTAGATCTATACCTGATCAAACTCTAGACTGAGTTTAGGCACTTAGCTGGATTGTCTGGTATACTAAGAGAGGCAGCCTCAGAAATGATAGAGCCTCTTATTGTTAACACCAACAGGGAGTAGGTGTTACTTCTGCAGTCAGAGCAGTGACAGAAAATCACAACGATTACACGCTTCATGTAACTGTTGTCAATCTGTCCTCCTCATGCACTTGTGAAATGTTTGTACATAGGCTGCCCCCTTAGCTTGCGCTGTGCCTGCAAGCTCCTTGAGGTTTCTTGTTGTTACTGGTAATTCACAATTTAGGATTATTGACTATTAAACTTGGGTAACTGTTGTAATATGTGTTATATGTATGTTAAAGGCACAGTATGTTGCCTTATATTTTTAAATACTGTCTTGTGCATTAGACTCTACAGAGTATCTGTGGAGGCTTGTGTAACTTACAGTGTGGAAATTATTGACCCTGATGACTTATGTGGAATTATCCTTTTGGCTCTTGCCTCTTGGCAGAGCAGCAGAGGCACAGGCTGGGAGAGAGTGCTGAGTGGCCAGGGGACTGGTGAAGGCAAGGTAGGAGCTGGGCAGCGAAGCAGAGGGACAGGAGCAGCAGAGAGGAAGGGGGGGAGGCGGGGCCAGAGAGGCTAGAGGGGCCAGGAGGAAGCAGACAGGCGGGGCCACCGGCCTGAGGGACTGATAAGGCTGTGCTCAGCCACTGCAAGCCTTTTTGGCTCTTGCCTCTTGGCGTCTTCTCTTGTCTGCATCCCTTAGCTGTGGCCCGGGCTGCCCACAGACTCCCTTCCCTGGGAGGCTGAGGGTTTTGTTGTTTTATTGCTTTGTCTGTCTGTCTGTCTGTCTTTCTTTCTTTCTTTCTTTCTTTCTTTCTTTCTTTTTGTTTTGTTTTTTGGTGCTGTGCTGTGCTGTGCTTTGCTTTGTTTTTTCTCCAATTTAAATTTTATTTTATCCGTGTGTGTGTGTGTGTGTGTGTTTGTCTGGGAGAACTGGGTGAGCGAGGGAAAATGCAGGACAGACAAGGTGGGGGACCATGGTAAGGCCTCAGATGGGATCCCAATAGCAGACCAGGAGATGGCCTTGGCGGGAGTCACGGGTGTTGCTGTCCACTGCAACAGCTGCGACATGTTTGCCCTTCTCCCCTGGGAGAGGCAGGGTTACCCTTGCCCTCGGTGCAAGCTGGTGACCCTGCTAGAGGAGGAGGTGAGGTGCCAGAGGACCGAGAGAGCTCTCCAGGCCCCCTGGGAGCAGCCCCCCTCTGGACAGAGTGTTAAGGGAGAGGCCATGGGAGGAGCAGCCAAGAAGACTTGGAGGCATGTCACCCAGAGGAGGAGGAGGCCAGCACGGCCTCCTCCTTCTCCTGGCACCAATTTGGAGCTGAGAAACAGGTTCTCTCCACTTGGGGAGGCTGGGGCTGATGAGGCCTCGGCGGACCAGCAGGACACCCAGCCTGGGACGACAAGCGGCAAGGGGGCCACTGCAGGAAAGGCGAGGACCAGGGCACGGCCACCCACTACCACCAGGAAGACATGGTGGTGGGTGATTGTTGTTGGGGACTCCCTGCTGAGGGGCACTGAGGTGGCGGTGTGCCACCCCAACCTGGAGACAAGGGAGGTTTCTTGTGCATCCACTATGTGAAGGACAGAGTGGAGTGTCTTGTTGGCTCTGGGGGTCACCAGCTGCTCCTGGTGATCCATGTGGGCACAAACGACATGGCCAGGCAGAATGTGGTCGGGATCACCAGGGACTTCGAGACCTTGAGAAAGAAACTCCAGGTGCTAAAGGCCCAAGTGGCCTTCTCGTCGATCTTACTGGTGCAGGGATTTGGGCCAGGCAGGGACAGGAGGGTCTCTGAGGTGAATGACTGGCTTAGGGTGTGGTGCCAGAAGGAACGCTTCGGGTTCCTTGACCACGGCACTCGTTTTCTTGCCAATGGACTTCTGGCAAGGGCCGGGTTACACCTCACAGGTCCTTTGGAGATGCTCTAGTGAGCTTCATCCAGAAGAGTTTAAACTGAGCCGGGGGGGGGGGAGGTTCAGGCCCCCCAGAAACGTGTCTGCACTGGACAAGTGTGGGGAGCGGTTCAGGGTTCTGGGAGCAGGGTTTTAGAGGGAGTACTGCAGGGACTGACAGGACTCCTACAGAGAGGGGCCAGGTATCAGGGAGGATGGGAGGAAGGAGGAGGCTGGGAACTCCAAGGAAAGGAAGCGGTGGGAAGGAGTTGAGGTGCATGTACACCAATGCTAGGAGCATGGGTAATAAGCAGGAAGAGGTTGAACCTCTCCTGGGAATAGGAGGGTATGACCTGGTGGGAATCACAGAAACTGGGTGGGATGAAAGGCAAGATTGGAATGTGAACATAGAGGGGTATCATCTTTGTAGAAAGGACAGGAAGGGAAAGAGAGGAGGGGGCGTGGCTTTATACGTCAGGGAAGGGATAGGATGCAGTGAGATAGAATGCAGCACAGATGGGGATTCGTTAGAGGCAGTCTGGGTGAAACTTGAGTCCCAGGATGATGTCCTGACAGGCCAGATTCTAAGGATATCTCAGGGGAGAGACACAGTAATTATGGGAGATTTCAGTCTCCCAGATATTCGTTGGGAGACTCAGCGATGACAGCCAGGTCACGTCGCTTCCTAGAGGCTATAAGAGGCAGGGTTTTTCACACAGAGGGTCCGAGAGGCGACAAGGTGGGGAAATGTCCTTGACTTGGTCTTGACCAATAGAGAGGACCTGATAGATGAAGTACAGATTAGGGGAGTTCTGGATGTAAGTGATCACTCCATCCTTTGCTTTGAGATCAGGGGACTGGGGACGTGCAGCAAGTCAAGCACTAGAAGCTGGGACTTCAAGAGGGCCAACTTTGGCCAACCGAAACCCAGACTGGGGAAAGTCTCCTGGGATAGGTTACTGGAAGGAAAGCGAGTTGAGGAGGGAAGGATGGCATGCAAAAAGGAGGTTTTGGAGGTGCAAGCCTTGACGATACCTCTAGTTAATAAGGTGGGGAGGCGGAGGAGAGCTCCACCTTGGATGCAAAAGGAGGTGGTTAGAGGGATTAGATGAAAGAGGAACCTCCATAGGAAATGGGTACTGGGGCAAATAGACAAAAGGGTATACCAGGAGGAGGAGACCTGTTGCAGAAGGATTCTTCTCAAGGCTAAGGCTGATCACGAGCTGAGACTTGCCAAGAATATCAAGAGCAACAAAAAGGGCTTCTTTCAGCATGTAAATAGGAAGAGGAATGGGAGACAAGTGGTGGGACCACTAAATAAGGAAGACGGAGATCCAGTGACTGATATGAGGGAACAGGCACAGATGCTAATTGACTATTTTGCCTCTTTGTTCTCCCCAAACCTGGACGGGGGAGATCTGCATAGGAGATTAGATGAGGCTGGGGACTTATGGGCACAGACTAGAGTCACCCCCCTAGAAGTCGAGGGGCTCCACAGGGCATTGGACATTACATAGGCTCCAGGCCCTGACAGGTTGCACCCGAGAGTACTTAGAGAGTTGGCAGGGGTTCTCTCACACCCGCTGGCCTCCATTTTTGTGGCCTCGTGGAGAACGGATGAAGTTCCAGAGGATTGGAGGGTGGCATCAGTGGTCCCAATTTTCAAAAAGGGTAGTAGAAGGGACATGGGGAATTACAGACCTGTTAGCCTTACGTCAATTGTAGGAAAAACAATGGAAAGGCTCATAATAGAGAGAGATCTAGCGATGTTAGATAGGGAAGGGAAGCTGGCAGCCACACAACACAGCTTCCGCAAAAACAGGTGCTGCCAGACTAACCTTGTGGAATTCTATGACAAGGTTTTGCGATGGCTAGATGGAGGGGATGCAGTGGATGTGGTTTACCTGAATTTCAGCAAACTGCCCCATGATATCCTGGTGGAGAAACTGAGGAGTTTTGGGGTACACCAAAGCACTGTTCGTGGATTAGGGCATGGTTTACTGACCGAAAGCAGAGGGTAACCATTAGTGGTGAATCGTCGGGATGGCAGCCAGTGACAAGCGGGGTCCCCCAGGGCTCTGTCCTTGGGCTGATCCTGTTTAATCTTTTCATAAATGGCATGGAAGAAGGGGTGAACAGTCTGCTGATCCACTTCGCAAACGATACTAAAACTGGAGCACTGGCCACAACTGAGGAGCACATACTCCAGATCCAAAAGGATCTGGACAAACTATGGAAGTGGGCAGGAGACAACAGGATGGCATTCATTGTGGATAAGTGCAAGGTCTTGCACTCGGGGCATAGGAATAGGTGTCATAAATACAGGTTAGGTGACAAGTGGCTGGAAAGCAGCACTTGTGAAAGGGACCTCGGGGTACTGGTTGACTGCAGGTTAAACATGAGACAGCAGTGCGATGCAGTGGTCAAGAGGGCGAACGCCACTGTTGGTTGCATAGCCAGAAGTTTGGCTTCTAGATTGAGAGAGGTATTACTATCACTCTATACAACCCTGGTGCGCCTGCAACTGGAGTATTATGCTCAATTTTGGGGCCCTCATTACCGAAAGGATATAACCAGGTTAGAGTCAGTGCAGCATAGGGCCACAAGGTTGGTCGCGGGTTTGCAGGGGATGGGGTATGAGGCCAGACTGAGGGAACTGGGTCTCTTCAGCCTGGAGAAGAGGAGACTCAGAGGGAATATGTTGGCGTCATACAGGTATGTGAGGGGATGTCACACGGAGATGGGTAGAGACCTATTCTCCCCTGCAGAGGAAGGCAGGATGCGCTCCAATGGAGCAAAGCTCAGGTAATCAAGGTTCCATTTAGATGCCAGGAAGCACTTCCTGACAGTTAGGACCCTGAGGGCGTGGAATGGGCTTCCACGAGAGGTCGTTGAGGCCCCATCGGTGAGGGTGTTCAAAGATAGGCTGGACATGCACATGGTGGGCATGTCGTGAGCAGAGCTGGCTGGAGCTGGAGGTCAGACTAGATGGCCCGGGACTCTTCTGACTCGCTCTGTTTCTATGTTTCTATATTGCTTTACTGGAAGTGAGACAGGGCTCAATAAAGATTTTTTAAATTTGCAAATGCCTTTGGACTTAACAACTTCTATCTGGTGTGTTATTTCTATGGCTTTCTTGGGTTACGTTTGAACATGATACACTCATTTTTTCTATGAAATGTGGGTTTTAAAAGGTTTCATTTTTAAAAAATACAAAAAAACTATTACCTTTGATCTCAAATAGTTCTTGGAAAATATAAAGTTTCAATACATTTATTTTTTTTACCCAATCAGCCAGATTCCAAATCGATGAATGGTAAAAAGAAGGCTAAAAAGCCAACTTCTGTCCTTGAAGCTTGGATTATTGTAAGTAACAAATTTTTTTACTTAACATTGTAAAATATTGTAACATTGTAAAATATTGTAACATTGTAAAAACAATAACATTGTTATTGTAAGTAACAAACATTTTTTCAAATTTGAAGCATGATTTTCAACTTATTTGATTGTATATTTGCTATATAATGTGCCTATAAATCTTTGTAAATGTTTTAATTTCCTTGTCAAAATGGTTGCACATTAGGCAGAAGATGTCCTAACCGAGCAAATCAAAGGATACTGGAATGAATTTAACAAAGCTTTGCAGGCATTTGATCCTCGAAATAATGGTATTATTAGCAGAAATAATTTCCGAAAAGTTCTTCAGCTCTATTGTCCCTCATTAACTGATGACCATTTTATTGCGTAAGTAACTAGTGTAGCAGATATCAGTCCCTTCAGATGTATTTGCTTTTCTTTCTGCATTTTATTCTTAGCTATCTTTGTTCAAGACTTCTGCATAAGCACTTGCATTCCTTCACTGTTCACTGTCATTTACAACAGAGAGTCAGAGTTTTTATGGCCTAAGCTTTCATGGTCTAGAGTCCACTTCATATTCTATGAAAGCTTCTGTCATAAGTAATTCTTTATTTTTTAAGGAGCCATAAGGCTCTTGTGAGCTTGAGTGGACTCCGGGGGATGGTGGAGAACAGGAAGGCCTGAAGGAATGTTGTCCATGGGGTCGCGATGGGTCGGACACGACTTCACTACTAGCAACAACAACAAAGACTCTCAGTTGCTTTTTTGCAACTACATTCTCTTTATCTAGAACCTGATCCAGTCCCAACATGGATATATCACCCATTAACAGAGGTTCTTCGTCGTGGCCTCTGTGCATCACACATATGGGTTCTGCGACTGCGCAGTGCCTTTGGCCGGAAGATTGATAGCTAACGGTTTCCTTTTCGGCGGGGACTCTGCTCCCCCTCCCCCCTAGCAGTATATAAGGAGCAGAGTGACCGCCATTTTCAGTCTTTGCGACCGCCGTTCACTGTGCCTCGTGCCACTTCGCTCTCAATGAGATTTATTACTTACCTCGTTCCTCGTTCGAAAACTTGCCTTTTTCTTTTATCAAGTTGTATCCCTTGTTCTTGTTGTTACTACTTCACTTACATTTCTTTAACGTGCACTATTTTTGCTTTCTTCTTATCGTTCCTATAAAAAAAAAATATTACTTTCCCGCTTTACTATCTTCTTTCTTTTCAAAATTTCTACGATGGCGCAACGGGCGGCGTTCCGCAAATGCGGAAAATGCGGCTCGAAAATGCCCGCAGCGGATCCGCATGATCTGTGCCTCCTTTGTTTAGGGGAGGGGCACAGAACCGATAAGTGCGGCCATTGTTTGGCCTTGTCAAAACAGGCGAGAAAAAATAGAGAGAACCGCCTTCGAAAACTCCTGTGGGATCAGGCTCTTCTCCAATCTGACCACCTGGTGGCTAAGTCTTCCACTGTTGTGGCCCCACCTGAAGGCCGTCCAACTTCGGCTGATTTGCCGCAATGCCCGGCCTCCTCCATTGCTCCGCCTTCACGTTCCTCTCAGGAAGGCGCACATGCTATGGCTGACCAGCCTGTTTCCCTGCTGAGGAAACAAAAGGAGAAGAGAAAGCACAGTGATTCAGATAAACACCCTGTGCATAAGAAGGCCAAGAAGGGCAAGACGAGCAAACCGACTAAAAAGCTGAGGAACCCTGAGCAGGCAAAACAACGCCATTCAGGCTCGGCCTCGTCTTCAATCCCGATACCGGTCTCGGAACCGACTCCCTCGGTACCGACCATCCAGGAGGCTATGAGGGTCACCCAACCAGGTTCACCATGCCGGCTGGCTGTCGAACCCGTCATGGAATCGAGGAGGGGTTCCATCTCTGATGGGGAAATAAGAGACTCTCCACCTAGAGCTCGATCACCAACCCCAATGCCGTTGGTACAGATGGATACTGATATCGCCATCTCCCCTCCAAGAAGCCGTAGGAGCAGTTCCTCGGATGCGAGATCGGACGATTGGTACCAATCTAGATACTCCTCCGTTCCGAGACGAGAAGAGTACTACTCTGCAGCCTGCTTCCCGACCAGGGAACGATCCTTGCCACCAGCCCACCAGGAGCATTTCCATTCGACTCCCAGAGATGCCCCGAACGCCCCATCTAGAGAACGTGGCAGATCAGAGTCATCCGCTGAATCTTCCTCCAGTGTGCCTCCCCCTTACTGGATGGAATCTGAAGAGTCTGAGGCTGATTCGACCTCACCGGATGCGGCAGTTGCGTAACAGGGACCAGGATCACCTGATGAACCCTATATGTCATTTAACGATCTCATGGCTAGACTAGTGAGATCGCTTGATATAGAAACCCACCAGCAGCCAGGACTGAGCACGGACCGCTTTTATGATGTTGTTAGAGGCGAACGATCCACATCCATTGCCTTGCCGCTTATTACAACTTTAAGACAGGCAATGACCCAGCCATGGGACCTTCCAGCTCAGCCGCAACCGACTTCACGGAAATATGAGTCTATGTATCGGGTGCGAGAGGAAGACATCCCGTTTCTCCTCCGCCACCCGAAACCAAATTCGGTTGTGGTGGAATCATCGCAGGGTCGGGAGGCCCGTGGACATACCTCGCCTAGAGATAAGGAGGGCAGAAAGGTTGATTCCCTTGCCCGTCGGGTCTACGCAGCATCGGGCCTGGGATTAAGGATCTCTAATTACGAGGCCACCCTGGCGCATTACCAATATTTTTTGATGCAACGCCTAGATGCCATCATAGATACTATGCCAGGAAACCAAGGCGAACTTGCAAAAACTTTTGTTAAGGAAGCTATGCAAGTCACTGTGCAACAGCTTTCTACTGCAAGACACCATGTAGACTCGGATTCGAGGTCGCTGGTTGGGGCCATTTCCCTCCGCAGACACGCCTGGTTGCATAATTGCAATTTCCCTGACGAAATGAAACGGAGAATTGAAGAAATGCCGTTCGACGGATCCGGTCTCTTCCACGCAAGAACGGACAGTAAATTGAAGAAGATCCATGAGTCTCGCATGACCGCTCGTCATATGGAATTACAATCTTTACCTAGATGTAAGTGGTCATGGTCACGCCCGCAATACCGTTCGCAATTTCCGCTTCGGCAACAACAACAGCAACTTCACCAGCGCCGCAGGCAGCAACCGCCCCAACGCTTCCAGCAGGGTCGCCGCAGATTCGATACGGACAGGCGACAGCGTTGATGTGACGAGCGAACCGTTCCTCTCCTCCCATCTTTACCCTTCCCCCTCTCATTTGGGGATCGACTGAAGAGTCGACTCTCCATTTGGGAGTCAATTACATCTGATGGATGGGTATTATCTATCATCCACGGATATGGAATCGAATTCGATGTTGTACCTTCTCCGAGTCCTGTTCGATATACTACGCCTTCTTTGGTGCTGTTAGACGAGATTCAACAACTTCTCATTAAGGGAGCTATTCGTCGCCTCTCGTTATCGGAAGGACTCCATGGATTCTATTCCAGATACTTTACGGTTCCGAAACGTGATGGAGGTCTTAGATCAATACTGGACTTGAGAGCTCTTAATAAATTCATAACACCAAAGAAGTTTCGGATGACCACGCTACAAAGTATTCTTCCACTGCTGGGAAGAGGGGATTGGTTCGCTTCATTGGATCTAAAAGACGCTTATTATCATATTTCAATACACCCAAGTTATAGGCGTTTTCTACGCTTAGCGGTGGACCATGAAGTTTATGAATTCAATGTTCTACCATTTGGATTGGCCACGGCACCAAGGGTCTTCACGAAGTGTATGGCCCCTGTGTGTGCACACCTTCGGCTGTGCGGGATTCGAATCTACCCGTACCTTGACGATTGGTTGCTTGTTGCCAATACGGAAGCTGGACTTGCATCTGCTATTGAACTTACATGCGTTCTGTTGCACGACCTTGGACTTTGCATTACTCGATGGAAATCTTCCCTTGTCCCTATGCAGGTGATCGACTTTATCGGAGCTCGACTGGATTCGACGTCGGCAAGAGCCTTCCTTCCTCGAGACAGCCGATATGCGATTGCTCATTGCATTACTCAAATTTGGCAAGCACGAACCGTTCCCGCCCGATCTATTCAAAGCCTTTGGGGCACATGTCTGCTTCCATCGCTGTGGTCCCTCATGCCAAGCTGCGACTACGTCCCCTTCAACTGTTTTTTCAACAAACTGTTTTGGCCACAGATAGACCCTCCTACCAAACGAATTCAACTATCGGCTTCAGTTCTCCAATCCCTGCTATGGGGGCTGGATCCAGCCAACTTAACCGTTGGTGTTCCATTTCAACCTCAGTACCCTACAGTGACCTTCAGTACCGATGCGTCACTGCTGGGATGGGGGGCCATCTGCTCCAATCTAAGTACCCAAGGGAGATGGAGCCATCGGGATGGCAGGAATCATATCAATTTTCTGGAACTCCTTGCCGATTTCAAAGCACTGCAAGCTTTCGAGGATCTGCTCCAATATCAGATCGTTCAAGTGACCTCCGACAAGTGGCGACGGTCTTTTATTTAAACAAACAAGGAGGAACCCGATCCGGGAAGCTAGCCCGTCTCGCCATGCAGATTTGGGGCTGGTGTATACCAAGGGGTATCACTATTCTAGCAGTTCACCTTGCGGGCACCGACAACACGGAAGCCGATCTCCTGAGCAGACACATGTCATGCTCCCATGAATGGGAGTTAGACCGTCGGGTTCGAAACATGTTATTTCACCGATGGGGTCGACCAGACATCGACCTGTTTGCCACTCAAGGGAACAGAGTGTGCAGGACCTATTCCTCCAGAGCGGGAGTGGGTCAGGACTCCCTGGGCGACGCTTTCATGATTCCATGGACAAGTGTGATTTTTTATGCTTTCCCTCCAATCCCACTTATCATGAGAGTGCTTGCAAAGATCATTCACGAAGGAGCTACAGGGATACTAACCATGTATAGCTCCTCTGTAGTGGGAGAGCGCTGCTGTATAAACCTTTATAGATGAAGGTTTGAGTCCAGACTGATTAGTTCAAAAAGGAACGGAAGTATCTGTGAAACGGAGGCTGAGGGGGCCGGAAAAGAGTGTAAATTGGCGAAGTTAGAAAGTCTTTTCCGTTTTGCTGCGTACGACTTCCTGGTAGATGGTCGTAGTGCAGATTCAAGAATATACTGCAGATCCGGGTGCAGGCTCTGCTGGGTATGCATGGTCGGGATGGTAGGCGGTGTCGATACCGATGTATCACCCCGGATCACCGTATCTGCCATGCAGTCAGTTTGAACGATAGCAAGTCTGGGTGACGAACCGTGCCTTCCTTCTGGGTGACTAGATAAGGGAGAAGAGGGAGTTGAAGAAAA